AAAAAAAAAAAACCCACTTCAAATAAAAACCTTTTCCCCAGTAACTTGCTTCAAACAAAAGACTTAAACACAAAAAACCCATGAACTTTGCCGAACTGCTATGCGAGTGAGAACAAAGAACATAAGAGTAACTACTTTATTCATTAGCGGCTGCGCCTAAAACAAGCACTACAAAAAACTGAGAAACTATTTTAAATCAATCGAAACTGACTCATTCCACAGTAATTATCCAAATCTCAGTAATACCACTTAATTTTTGCCATGAATGTAATTGATGAGGTCAACAACACGGCAGCTGTAACCGAATTCATTATCATACCACGAGATCAGCTTAACAAAGTGTGGGTTTAGAGAGATGCATGCACCAGCATCGAAGATTGAAGAGTGGTGGTCACCAACGAAGTCAGTCGAAACAACCTAAAGTTTTGATGAAATTATGACATATGTAGTGCTTTGCCGAGTCAAAAGAAACGCGAAAAATAGAAGCACTTTAAATTGCAACTGTTGTACTTTGCTAAATAGTCGAAGCTGCTCACAAACAAATTCAAAAGGTACCTGATCCTCAGTGTACGCAAGAATGCCCTTCAATGGTCCCTCAGCCGCAGCTTTGATAGCAGCCTTAATATCATCCATAGTTGCTGCCTTCTCAAGGCGAGCAGTGAGATCAACAACTGAAACGTCAGGTGTTGGTACGCGGAAAGCCATGCCGGTCAGTTTACCATTCAGTTCGGGAATGACCTAGAAAAAAATATCACGGTAACATCAGAAACGACATTCTTGAGTGGAATTTCGAGTGCAACAAGAATCGGAAAATTTACCAAGACTTAGTTTAGGAATTGAAATTACACTTTTTTTTCATAATTATGCAAATCCTAACCTTGCCAACAGCTTTAGCTGCACCAGTGCTAGCTGGAATAATGTTCTGAGAAGCACCACGACCATCTCTCCACTGTTTTCCTGATGGTCCATCAACAGTCTTCTGAGTTGCAGTCGTTGCGTGTACTGTCGTCATTAGACCCTCGATGATACCAAATTTGTCATGGATAACCTAAAAACCAAATGCTTTTAGTCTCCAAAATAAATTCCATACAACTAATACAGTGTCGGAGAACAAGTTTTTTTGATAAAAAAAGTCATGAAAGGAAAATGCCACAGGAAACCGTCAAAGCTAGAGGAATGAGATAAATACGGAAAAAATTCCTTAGAAAAAACGAAGTTTCAAAGTAGTACTTTTGCCAAAGGTGCCAAACAGTTGGTCGTGCATGATGCATTGGAAATAATGTGGTTGTTGGCAGCATCGTATTTCTCCTGGTTAACTCCCATAACGAACATTGGTGCATCAGCTGAGGGTGCTGAGATGATAACTTTCTTCGCACCACCCTTCAAGTGAGCACTAGCTTTCTCTACAGTCGTGAAAACACCAGTAGATTCTACGACATACTGTGCTCCATCAGTTCCCCACGGAATTTCTGCGGGATCTTTCCTAAACTGATTAATGAAATTTTTGTTCGCCTACAATTTCCTATACTCACGGTACAATCACTCGCTCGCAGGACAAAACATCCCTCAGATTACTCTTTACAACCTTAACAAAAATGTCTACAAAATGCTTACGAGTTGTGAACAGCAATGTGGTAGGTAGATTTGCCAGGCATAGAAATAACAAGTTTTCCATTTTCGGCATGAATATCTCCCTTGAACCGGCCATGTGTGGAGTCATATTTGAACATGTAGACCTTAAAATACGGAGATAGCTTACACAGAATCATTGCTGTAACGTACGTTGAATCTTTCAAGAGTTATCTTACAACACCCGAACGGCTAATCTAAGTTCCACCATGTGACACCCTACCAAAACTTACAGTAAGTTGTTTTGAAACCCCGTTGTTTGGCCTCACTTCAATCCCTCAAAATACAGTTTCGAAGGACTAGCTATTGCAACTTTTTAATTTAAACACACTGCCTTAAAAAACCATCGACTAACATCCCGACCTTGGTCATTATAACTTTAACTCTAAATCTTTACTCTATTACTTTCCACATAAGCCACCACGGTCTAGCATTTGATGAACTAAAGAAACAGCATTGGTGAACAATTTCAAGGCAATCTCTTCCAAAAATTTCTCCTGCTCGCTGAATACATTTACCGTAGCCCATTAAAAATATAAACCTCATGTCAGAGATGCATACAAATCGTAAGTCTGAAGAGCAATAATTCTTAAAAGTTCGGTTGAAATAGTAATAATTAAGACTTTTCTCACCATATAATCGATGTTGATGAACGGATCATTCACTGCAACAACTTCACACGTATCTTTCTCAATTGCTGCACGAGCGACCAAGCGACCAATACGGCCGAATCTTGAAGCAGAAGACTTTTAATTTTTATTAGATGTAAAGCTAAATTTCCTAAAAACCAACAGTAAAAAAACAAACCCATTGATCCCAATCTTTGGCTTGCTCATGGTGCTATAGAAAAATCTACCGATAGAGTTCCGAAGTAAGAGGCCAAAAGCTAAAACGAATAATCCATCAGAACAACGAAATAAGCAACAAAAAAAATTAAACTGTCGTTTTTTCTGACGATCATGTTAGAAAAGACGAGTAAGGAGGATCTCAACAATACAACTTCATTGCAACGCCTTACTGTCTGCACCTAATATGTTTCGCCACCTCAAGCTGGTTAAGACGGATGCCAGAGGGTAGCAACTAACAAAGTATACTATTGATTTCACAGCTGAACGAGGCAACACACGAATGCACTACCGATTTATAAACCAAATTAAAAAATCTACATAGAAATATTATAAAAAGTCACACTTTTATGTACTTGGGATTTCACCACTGCGTTCTAGTTTAAATTTTGATGCAGAGCGTATTAGGACACGCCAATAAGGACGTAGGTGGCTCAACACTGCCCAACCAATAAAACTTTACAGAAAAACTGCAAGAACCAAAAAAAAAAAAAATCGTTCTTTTCCTGTCAAGGCCCTCTATGCTAACCTATTCATCGCTCGCGTTCGTGTTACTTAGTGGGCAGACGGATGCAACGAGCACCGCCAATATCACATATAAATAAACACAGACACTCAGAGACGAACACGCACTCAAAAGAATTGATTTACATTACATCCATGCATTTCGCAATACTCACAACGATTTTCCCCCTTTAACGAGTTTCCATCCTTAACATTTTTTTCCCAAAACAAGAAAAGTCATAACTTTTCGTAAAGAAGATGAAAAAACAAAACGAGAAAAGCGCTGCATAAAACCCAGAAACTGAAATAATATTTGAGCTTAAATACATACATGTTGCACCCAGCATTACTGCATCTGGCACAATTCTTTGTACAGTAGAGAATCGATCCATGTTTACAAATTAAAACTATATGCAACTACGGTAAACTTTAGTCGTTGCAAATACGCAAAAAACAGAAGACAACAATCCTAATTGGAGAAAAAACAGCAAAAACTGTAAAAAAGGAATAAAAATAAAACGAAGAATACCGCCATCAGACTAAGAAATGCAATAAAAATGTAAACAAAGGGAAAAAAATATTTTTTTTTTTTCAACGAAAGAGGATTTAAATTTTCCGAAAATGCAGAAAGTTTTCTTGAAAATTTCATTGGAGAACGGCCACTCATCCACCTGCATACAGTATTAGGTGAATAACAACACAAAAAACCAAAAGTTAGTTTAGATTTAATGGTTCGTTCAATACTAAAAACACGAACACGCAGCCAATTTTATATGCTAAACAGCGGCTGCAATGGCAGCAAGCTATAAAGATCATCTCAGCATGGTGGCGACAGCGATAGGCATTAGAGCCATTGCCAACAGCCCGATAACTGACTGATGTATTCAACTTGTACACCCAAGTATTTATGAACAGCAGCCTAACAAAGTGTAATCATCAAGGTGGAAGGAAAAATTATGGCTAATAATGATAGCTACACATAGAAAATCAGCTAAATATAGAAGTTTAGAAGTGGAAAAAAAAAAAAAGAAAAAAAATTAAACACATAACAACAGGAATGTGCAATAATTTTGAAATAGACCATTCCAAACGAACTATGGATCTGCCTACATCTGATAAGCAACCGAATGCAAAAGCAAAGAGCAAGAAAGACGGGAGCTAGCGAGGAGAACATAGGTAAAACACTGACCTTGACGAGAGACGAATGCCAGTGCTGCCGTCAACTGCCCCAACGCAGTTCACTAATAAAGTGTAGATCCCAGCTGGATTGCCTAGGAACTTTCTTATGCCTCAAACCAAATCTGAATTTTGCACGTTCACTGCCGAGACAGTACAGAAAATCAGGAGTTAGGCAGACGTACTGCAAAGTCTTACGGTGATAAAAAGAGTGCAGCATAGTGTGTGACGGGAAGAAAAGAAAAAAGGGAAAAAATTGGTTCATTTTTTTGCTCCTCCTATCTGTCATTTTTTTTACTAAACCGCTTCGAAGAAGAAAAAAGAAAATTCTCAACTTTATCGATATAATCTTTTTTTTTTCTTGATTTTTAATTTTCAGAAGGACTATCAAAACTGAAGGCATCATTTTGTCTTCCTATAATAAGAGCATTATAATAATTCATATATTGTAAGGTGTTTTTCTCCTGTTTTTTTTTTTTTCTTCTCCATAGCTCCGCTTTGGCTGTTTAACTACTTTTTATTTTTTTTTAACTACTACGTTTTTGCCAGTCAAAAATCAACAGCTATTTTAATGACAGTTTCCAAGTTCAATTGAAACTCAAAAACAATATTTTTTCTCCGAATTTAGAACGGAAACTCGGAAAAAAAATTTTTTTTTTGCGTTTTTTTTTCCTCGCTTCTTCTTATTACTTTTAGTGACAATTAAACAGTTTTGAATGATTTTTTCCATGTAGTTTCTCCATCTTTTTATTCG